GAAGGACGAAGGGGAGAAGCAAAGACCACAGGTGTGACCGTAAACAAGCCTGCTCGCGCAGCAGACGTCACAGCCGGACTGATCCTATTTCCTTATTGGGGCCAACCAGTCACATCAATTAAGCCGTGCCCGTCTACATGATGCGCCGCCGATCAGGCCCTTACTTTGCTCAATGCAACACAACTACTTTGATCCCCATCTCTTTGTCTGACCACTACCTCAATCTCCTCTCTCTACACTTGAAACTCTTACTGATACCTTGTAAGATACCTGCTAGACCCAGTTAGCAAGGTGCGCAATGTCTGCGTATGAATACCACTACCCCATTGATGCCTTGTCATGTAACGACAGATTAAGTATGTCAAGACGCCTGATTTAGAAAAAAAATGCATTAAGGGGGAATCGAACCCCCGGCGGGACGAGTATTTTCAAATGGCAACGTCCCAGGTTACCACTACCCCATTAATGCTTAGGTAGACCACAGTTATGTATAATAAATATCCACTTTGCTAAGCTTGATTAAGTGGCTACTCTCCCCGAGGCAGAGCAACGTTCAACCTTCCTGCCTCAGGATCTCAATAGTTGAAACGCTTGGCATCTTTGCTCCGTCAGTATCGCGCAACGGCTTCAATCTCATCTATAGCACTGCATTATCCGAGATGTCGGCACGGGCTCTCAGCGACGATGAAGTACTCACTGAAATGAACAAGATGGTCAGTAGCACATTCCCTCGTTGCCTGAACGCTACGTCTGGGTCCGTCGACTGTGGATAGTGGCTTAAGGCGTGCTGGGCTTTAGGTCGCGTTCATCAAGCAAGAGGCACAGGAGAAGGCGAGAGAAATAAGAGTGAAGGCGGACGAGGAATTTGCTATCGAGAAGGCATGTTGCTACTATGGAGTTCTTTGTCTGTATTGATCTTATGCATACCACCACAGGCCAAGTTGGTGAAGCAAGAACAACAGGCAATCGACGCACAGTACGATAAGAAGAGGAAGAACGCAGAGGTAGCACAGAAAATGTGCGTGTCCAATGCTCGCATATTCCTGTACATATGCTGATACTACATGCAGAGCACAGTCAACGCTTACAAACAAGTCACGTCTCAAGCTTCTGCAACAACGAGAAGAGCACCTGCAGGATCTCTTCGCTACCTCTCGTTCATTGATTGTGTCCCTCTCGTCCTCAGAAGACCGCTATGTGCAATTTTTGGAGAATGTCGTCACTCAAGGACTACTCGCGTTGATGGAGGCCGACGTCGTTCTGCTGGCACGGGATAAAGACCTCGATATCATGCAGAAGGCTGCGGAGAATGCAGAGAAGCACTATAACGATATCAGTGGCCGATCAGTTACCACCAAGGTGCAAGGTGGGCTCAGCGAGGATCTGTACGTGCCTACTGTTATACAGAGTGTGTTACACTGATCTTGACACACACGCGCTCCATAGTGCGGGAGGGGTAGTACTCATCGGCGCGAAGAATCGCATCACTATTGACAACACGCTTGACGAAAGACTTCGCCTATTGGAAGACAGGGTAAGGCTTTCGATCATATATGCCGAACAGTCATTTTTCTAACCGTAACATAGATGCTTCCAGAGATTCGGTACGATCTCTTCGGGGCCAACCCCAACCGCAAGTTCTTTACTTAGAGCAACAGCCACTACCTTGCATAAGCGTTGCAGTTCGATACCTCTCAGCATGCAGTTAGCAAATTACTCCAACAAATGGACTCTTAAACATATATATTTCTGTTGCAACATCGACAAAGTCATGAGATACTTGCACGATGCAAAGGTGATTCTACTTTCTGTACTGTTCTCCTTTATTCCCATCATTCTCTTCTGCCTTTTGCTAGTCCGCGAACTTGAAGTTAGCTGACGGGATAGTGGATAGCTAACCCAAGTATATTGCATCGTCAGTCGCAAACCGCGTTCAAGTATTGCAAAAGATGGTCGCGATTGGCGTCGCTTTCCAAGTCTGCAGCATGTTTGTGCATTTTGAGCTTGATCTGCGTTTGTGCGTGCATCATGCAGCGCTCGAAATGTGAGTACCCCGAGTCACCTTCTTCCCTGTCAGAACACTCCTGCGGTCGTCGTCGGCACTTGAAGCTTGAATGTCGCTCTCTATCTTGGTCTTTCTTCCTCGTGTGGTCCTTGTGCATCCTCTCTCGCCGTTTCTCGAGACAATCACTTTGCACTGACCGCCATGTGCAGCCTGGTACCTATATCTCCGGGATGGGGAACAATATGTAGAGTCCGAAGAGGCTGTAGAGGATGACCGAGATCCAGTTGCCATGTCCCCTCCGACAAAATCGTAGAAACTAGGGCATTATAACTGGGCGGTCTCTGCATATTCGGCGGCTTGAGGGACTTCGTGAGACGCGTAGCGTGCCCTCTCTCGTCGTAGTTGTCAGGTGCGTCTGGTAATACAATACCGCCGTGCTCGCACATCCTAAACCACTTCTACAGTGTAGCTCTGCTTAATCTATGGAGCGCAGACCAAATTCTCCAGGGCACACCCAATCAACAGATAGGTGGGCGCATTCCACGAGTCTACAGCTTTCCCACTGAGTCGAACCCACACTGAAATCTTTGTAGTCGCCGCCCTTAGTACTAAGCTTCAAAAGCGGGCCCTGTGCCTAATCTTCTCGCCATAAGCGGTGCGACATCGGCCGCTTACTACGGCAATACTGGATATGTTATGGGAAAACTTCGTCAGCGAACCAAATCCTATATATGTTATATTTCTGCAATATAAGAGTTGTTTCCGAACCATGGCCATCGGAACTGCATTTCCCGAATGTCTATGTAGCGCCATTGGCACCGACCCCTCGAGCTATCGCTTCACATTCGCAAATGCGACCTTCGGATAACCGTCCAAGCTGGGGCTCAGAAGAAGTCTCTTGGGCTGTGAGTCTGTAAGCCAGTCATCCCACGTGCGATAAGTATTGAAAAGCGGGACATACTTCTGCTCCCTGTCCTCCAATGTGACAAAATCAACCATATGTCTCTCAATATCGTAGTCCTCGTATAACAGGTCGATCCGATCTTGCAACTTAGCCAGTGCGGTTCTATAAGCTTCCACATATTGGACAAGATCGTCACGCATATGAAAAACGAAGCGCAGCCGGACAAAGCCTTGCAGGGAGTCGAGCAGGCCCCAGGGATACATTCCAGAATATGCCGTAGATGTTGTGGTAGCACCATGTCTAGACGGAGAAGTGAGCGATAGAACTTCAACCATAGTGACGTGTGTTGGCGTGGTTCGGTCGTGTTCACCATACGTGTAGAATTCACATCTGAAATCAAACCCGTCTGCCGAAGAGAAAGCGTTGTTGGTTGGTGGTCGTCGAGATACACAGTGTAAGGCGCAGATCATCCCCTTCCAAAAGTCAGACATGTGTGTTCTCGTAAAGGCAAGCACTCACGATACGGCGCAAGATACGAGCTATTCCCTGTCGAAATCATGAACATCTGTTTGACGGGCAGTTCCTTTGAGACTGCGCTCTCATCAACGCTCTGGTGCATGATCATCGAATTGCTCATGTATAACTCGTGTATCTAACTGATGAAGTAATGATCGTAGCTTGCAAGGGTTCGAGCAACGATGGAGTTGTTCTCCGCAGGCAAAAGCTGCTCAAGTCGACGCCACATTATTTGGACAGTCCCGGGTCATGGTTGCTGCTGGGGAAGGCGAAAGCGTCAGCGTGCGAGCGAATTTGATTATCGCATGTGTATGGAGCCAGGATCGCTCGTCCAGCCACTGTACCAGTTGCGCGTAGTCCAATGTCTTTTAAGACCGGGGTCGATTTTTGTGGTGGTTTCAGGACCAACGAAGACTACCCGCTCAAGTCATCGAAGTTCTGCAATTGGATGTAGCAGAACATCATGGAACGACAAGCTTGTGCACAGTAGACACAGGTAAGCGATCGGGATGCGAAGTGCCTGACAACGTCCGGTCTTTTCTGCAATCCTCATTCCCGCAGCACCTCAAAGGTGTCTCCCACATGATAAAGGATGTTTTGAGATAGCTCCTGCGGGAGATCAGCTGCGGTGGCCATGGACAATGACGATCGAGGCCGCGACAAAAGTGATGATATTACTAGTAGCAACTTCAGCTGACGATATATCATAAGCGAACGTGATACTCTTACCAGTAGCGATGACGTTTCGGGTACTAGATTATGAGCAGGCCAGAGTAGCTCGAGACAAGTAAACTGCTAGTTTTGCTTGATAGTGAGACTCCACAAGGCTTCGCTCCAAGCGCCGACTTGAGCTTGTGTTTGCGCATGTGGGCGAGTGCGGTGCCTGGGACGCCATACCTGAATTCCTGAAACTTGAACTCGGGATACTTGAGGATAGTCTCCCATATTCTCGTCGCCTTTATACTTTTGAACTATCAACGTCTACGCAGGTACGACGCTTCCGCAGCTGGGGTTCCCTATATTATGGGCTGGTGCGCTACGAGTCAACTGTGCAGAGCTGACTTTTGGTGGTATGAAAACAGGAACAGAAGCTGCTTGAACCACCCATGATACTCCGTCGACAGCTGAGGGCATGGCTCAATTCACGTGCAGGGGAATCACCATGATACTCACAAGACCTCAGTGTCTTACAACACCAACTTCACCAATATGGTGACCAGTACGGAACTCTTTGATTTTATGAGCTGGCAGCCCCACGTGCTTTGAACGCAGAGAAAGACGCACGCCTGCCCGGTATCCTCTAACGTGACATAATCGAGAATGTCCCCTTTCTCCCAGCGACGGCCCTTGACTATCAGGTCAATCCGAGCATGTAACTTGGCCAGGGCGGGTCTGCTTGCTTCCATAAATTGGTCGACCTTGTAGTGCTCATCGAATTTGAAGCGCAACTGGACAAGTCCTGGCAGGGAGTTGATAAGATCAATTATCTGGTCCCAGAGATCCATCTCTGGATCTGCGTTCGATGTCTTGGTTTCGCCACGCTCGTACCGAGAGGGGCAATGGATTTCAACCATAGCGAATATGTATTGGCGTAGTTCGGTCACGTTCACGGTACGTATAGAAATCCCATCTCAGGCGGACACCATCGTGCGAATCAAAGCTGTCGTAAGTTGGTGATAGTCGATCTACATACAAGCCGCAAAGCAGATCTTCGAGAGAATCATCAGATCTATATGTCCCCGGTAAGAGGAGTACTCACCCATACGAAAACTGTTGGAGATACAAGTCATTTCCGGTAGAGATACCGAAGGTTGGCTTGTCCTTTGACATGTCCCAGCATGCGTACTGGTATACGACGTTCAAATTTCCGTAGAGAACTTGATGATCCAACGGATGGAGTAGTAATGCGATATAATGAAGGTTTGAGCGACGAGACATTTGTTCTCCGCAGGCGAGAGCTATCCAAGCCGAGTCCACATCATTTGCAAGAGCGTGCGGCATGGGACGATACGAGACGGTAAATCCCTAGGAAGCTCGGCAAAGA